AACCCCTGTTTACTTCATTTACATATCCCATTGCATCTCTGACTTTGGTGTTCACTGCTTTACTCAAACTTCAAAAAGCAATCCTAAGTATTCTAACTTGCCTGTATGTCCTAATCTCCTCAATCATCTTGACCCCCTTCCTCAAATCCAATGTGAATGGAAATCAGAACTATCAAGAATATTTTAAGGACTGGGGATATAGTTCAGTTAGTAGAGTGCTTGCCTGGCATGCACATAGCCCTGGGGTTCAATCCCTAGCGCGTGCACACAAACACAAATATATATATATATGAATACACATACACACATACACACACACACCTTTTTTTTTTCTAAAGAGAGAGTGAGAGAGAGGTAGAGAAAGAGAATTTTAATATTTATTTTTTAGTATTTGGAGGACACAACATCTTTGTTTGTATGTGGTGCTGAGGATCGAACCCGGGCCGCACGCATGCCAGGCGAGCGTGCTACCGCTTGAGCCACATCCCCAGCCCCACACACACACACCTTTTGTTAATTTCTAATTCTACAAATTTTCTCACCATAATTACAAATGAATCAGAATAGGGAAAAAATAAGCAAAGAGATGCATAGAAAGAAAAAAATCCATGGAGCTCAGTGAAAAACTAGCCTTCAATTCCTACAGTCAACACTTTCATCATTTGGAGATTTTACAGCTAAGTCTCCAAACTACAAACTTTCTTATATTTGCAACTTAAAGTTGTTAGGTTGCCAGACTTGACCAAGAATCTATTTACTCCATGACATTGCTGAACTAATCTGAGTTCTAGACTCATTTGTTTGGAAACAATGTGACATGAAAAAAGCATAATCTATGGAGTCTGTCAGAATTAGACAGAAATCCTGTCTGCCAGTTACTAACTGTATGACCAAACAAAATGTATTGCATTTTTCCAAATTCTAAGTTCCTCCTCTGTGGGAGAGCACTCCTATCATGGAGAGTTTGTAAGGATTAGTATAAATATCTGCTGTGACAGATTAGGTACTCAATAAATAGTATCAATTACAGTTGGCCTTTCTTATCTATGGGTCCAGCCACCAAGGAGTAGACGAACCCCTGATCCAAAATAATCTGGAAGGGAGGGGGACCCATATCTGTACCAAACATGTACAGATTTTTTTTCTTGTCATTATTCCCTGTACAGTATAATCACAAAGCATTTACTTGTATTCTGTATTATAAGTAATCAAGAAATGATTTAAAGTATATAAAAGGATATGCAGTAAAAGATCAAAGATCAGGCTGGGCAAAAAAGACTTAGTTTCCAAACAGAAAAAGAAAGGGTAAAGGAGAAACATATAAGTGACAATTTATAAACTGACATACACTGTACAATACCAGAAAGGGAAGCTTTTACCAACTCCAAAATGGTCCTGCTCAAAAATTACCTGCTTTCCAAAATTAAATGTGCATAACTAAGTAAATGTCATGTGAGTTGAGTAAAGTAATCAACACTACCTAGCTCACAGTAATAATATGACTAATGATTAGAACATACTTGTTAACCCAGATGATGCTCGTGTTGGTGGAATTCCAGTCAGACAAATTAAATTAAAAAGTTAAACTGTATGGAAGACATTTTGTTCTTACCCAATCTGCATCCTGCGAAGCCTTTCTTAAACAATTTCTATTCCACTTCACTTAGCTTTCTTTCCCTCCTATTCCCCAAAACAGTTTTCACAGCAAAGGGAGTAAGAACTCTAAAGTGGAGCAAAGAGAATTATCTAAATGTGTTCAGGTTAAGGAATAACTGTACTTAACATAATCTAACAGAAAAAAATCAATTTGATATCAAAAAGATGTAAGTGTTGGGCTGGGGATGTGGCTCAAGCAGTAGCGCTCGCCTGGCATGCATGCGGCCCGGGTTTGATCCTCAGCGCCACATACAAATAAACATGTTGTGTCCACCGAAAACTAAAAAGTAAATACTAAAATTCTCTCTCTCCTCTCTCTCTCTCTCTCTCTCTGTTTAAAATAAAAAATTCTCTCTCTCCCTCCCTCTCTCTCTTAAAAAAAAAAAAAAAGATGTAAGTGGTGGCTGGGGTTATAGCTCAGTGGGGGGGAGTACTTACCTTGCAGGTGTGAGGCACTGGGTTTGATCCTCAGCACCACATAAAAATAAATAATAAAATAAAGGTACTGTGTGTCCATCTACAACCAAAAAATATATATGTTGAAAAAATATATGTAAATGGCAAAGACTTCTCTACTTGTCTACATAAAAACCTTCTACTTTTAATACTATTTTCCTCATAACTTTAAATCCCTTTCCTTTTTAAGAACAGTGGAATATTTTGAGAAATTCTGCTATTAGTATTACAATTTAATAATTAAGAGTCAATGAAACCCCAAAGACTCAAACTGCTCAAAGGACTCAACTATACTACACCCAAAGAAATTATCAATGGAACAAGACTGAACTTTCAAAATACAAGAAAAATTAAAATGAATTCTCAAGACAAAAATCATCCAACCAATAATTTAACTGAGTATTTTTTTTTAATTCTCAAAACATAAGTGATTATATACTTTCTCTAAGAGGAGGTATATTTATCTATATTTATTTACAACCCAATCAGAATCATAGAAAGGATATAGAAAGATCTCAGTAGACATCCAAATGGATATTTCTAATACTATTTGTTCCTCATTCATAGTACCAGTGTCAGCAGCACCACATACCACAAGAACATCCACATCATTTTCTGAGCTTGTCTGAACCTGACCCTGTCCAAGCCCCTTAGGAAAGCAACTAGTGACATGGATCATAAAGCCCAAAGTTTAAAGGATACTAAATTCAAGTAGTCAATAATCATTGCTGTGTGTGAATTTAATTTCCTTACTCCCCAGTCAGATCAGAATAATTCAGGTCCAGGATCACCAAAAAAAAGTCTGAGGCCACTGACAGTAATTCTTGGCACCATGTCAACATTTTTCGTGACACATGAGAAATAACTTCTATTAATCAAGGATATTATCAATTAAGTTTTAAAGTGCTTCTAAGTTACATGTTAACAGCAGGAGGAGAAAAGGAAAGGGGCCTGAGTGAGTGGGAAAAAAGTACTGCAGCTTACAACTACTTGAAAAATAAACAGTCAACAGACAAGTTAAAACATGTTATAGTTACCAACAGTTGCCAACATGCAGCATTACCACACCATATACTTGTCAGATTTCCCAATATGCAAATCAAGGAGCCACCCTTAATGAAATACTTATCTGCTGACTTCTATAAAGAAATGACTTTTCTAAAATGAATGCAATTTAACTTCCCATGTTTGCACTTTCAGAACAAACTTTCAGCAAATTAAGGTTCGCCTCAACTTCAAGGCTTTTCAAGTTAAATTGAATGGAGAATGGCACATTTCTAATACCAATAAACTAAAAGATCACTCTTCTATTTGCAAACTACATCCACATTTGTATAAGATTGAAAAGGCCAAATATAAAGTTTGCAAAAACAAGTAATATAGTAGGCATAGCAAGCATTCAACAAGTTTACTTATCAGTAAAATTCCTAAAGTAAAAGCTTGAAAAAAGCCATGAAGAGAAATTCCTAGTAGTGTTACTGAAGATACAATGTCACTAATATGGAAACAGAAATATTCAAAATATTCTGAAAACAGTTACCTTCCTCTAAATATAAAGAGGAAATACATTCGCCAACAGAAACTACTGGTTCTTAAAAATGATAATCACATGGGAGGCACTTCTATAAACACTTTAGATCTCAACTGCAATAATCCCAACCTTTCAAACCACGGTTGGTCTTTCCTTAAAAAACGAATTTTTGGTGCCATTATAATGACACAAAGGACTCTGCTACTTTATTTGCTTCTACTGCAAACTGTTAGTTTACATAAAGATCTACAAATCAAACTACCACACAATTCACTTCCAATCACCAAAATAAAAACAAGCATCTGTCATAGTTAAGGTTCCAAGAATTTTCTGATAAAGTAACAATAACAGGTGTTTTGCGTTGTGGTTCCAAGAACAACTAAATATGTTTGGAAATCTATTTGGATTCATAATTCTATACATTTACTTTGATCAGAAAGAGAAACCTCAGAAAATAAGCAGCCGGAGAGGACATGTCTCTATTTTAAGTTACTCACGAAGCTAACAGCTCAAGAACTTTGGGGAGGAAGACACAAGATTTAAGTCATTTATTCAAATAGTTAAGAATACTTGATGCTTTATAACGAGAATACATCATCGTAAGGCGGAAGTGAAAATGATGAGAAGGGGGGAAAAACCCGACGTGCAAAAGGACCAACAGGCAGATTCACTAACCTTCAATTAAAGGAATTTTAAGATTTAACTTCTCGCAAACGCCCTCCCTCACTCCCCACACCCGCTTCCTTCTCTCCTCGGGGAGGTCCGTGTAATGTGACTCATGACAAATTTTCTTTAAAAAAAAATAAATAAATAAAAGACACACCCTCTGGGCTGAACTGACATAATCGCCCCCACCGCACCCTCGGCGGATACACACCCCGCTTTTCCTCTGTCTTCGGCCGCTTCTCCCTGCCCTTTCCTCTCCCCTCTCCGGGTCCCAGAACCGTCTCGGGGCGCAGAGGCGGAGGGCGGCAGCTGGGGTCTCCGGGACGCACGCCCGACGGACGGGATGCGGCCGGGGGCCAATCCCTCAGGGAGGCGGACGCCAGGGGGGCGCCGGACTGCGCCGCCGGCGGGTTCCCGGCTCCCTCGCCCATTTTCTCCCACCCCTCGGGTCGGCTTCCATCACCACAGCCACTTCCTGTATCGCAGCCGCTCCCTCAGCCCGGCCACTTGCCCTCTGCCCAGCGGGGCTGGGGCTGGGGCTAGGGCTGGAGTTGAGGCAGCGGCTGAGGTTGAGGCAGCGGCTGAGGTTAGGGCAGCTCCCCACCCCGCCCAGTGGGCTGGTCACTCGGGCGGCCGGCGGCGGGTCCTCGGCAGGGCCAGCGCCCGCTGTTCGCTCGTCCGCGCTCCTCACCTGTATGTAGTTGTTTTCACAGTAGTCCGCCACCCGGGTCAGGTTTTGGTAACTCTCTATCAGCGCCCTCTTGCCAGATGGAATTTCCTCCTCTAGTAACATCTGCAGCTCTGCCATTTTCCACCCCTCTGCATCGCTTCCTCTCACGTTAAAGAGACAGAGGCAGCAAGGTCCGCCGAGGCTCGGAGCACCTCACAGCCCGGATACAAACCGCCTACCCGCCCTCCCGCCTGGTATTGTGGGACGGGACCTCCTCCTCTTCCTCCTCACTCTCTCCACCCCCCTCCACTCACTTCGCGCAGCCGCCTGAACCTTGTTCTCTCGCGAGCTTTCCTTCCTCCCGCCCCCCTCTTAAAAGCGGGACTTTTTTTTCTTGTGGCACGGCCTTCTGGGAATTGTAGTCTCTTGTAGGCTAGCGTCCCATCACAAGCGCGTGCGTTCAGGGGACCTCCGAAAACGAACGCGGAGGAGCGTAAAGAACGTGGACCTGGGGCGGTGGTTTTAAGTCCGGAGATTCCTTGCAGCTCCGGATGGTGGCGCCACAGGGTGATTCTAGAGGGCTTTGAAACTTGGAAGAACTTGGTCAGCTAATAAATGTCAGTGAATCAGAGATATCCATTCAGATAAGGATTGAAAAGAGAAATTCAAAATCTTTGTCTTCTGAGAGAGATGTGCCTTAGGTTTTCCTTTCTAAACTTATGCCCCCATCAGTTCATTTAGGAAACATCTGAAGATTGCCAGCTGTGTACCAATGTGCTAGACAATGGGGGTAGAAGTTAAACAAGGATACTCTGTACCCTTAAAGACAATTTTAAAAATAAACGCACATTTACAAAATAAAACACATAATTTTCAGTATTTTCCTGTCCTAATATATTCTTTATTATTTTCTTATGTTTTTTTATCTCTGACCTTCCTTTTCATATATATTCCTACTTTTTAAAGGCACGTATACATTTTCTCTAAGGTGTGCATAATAGTTTTTGTTTTTGTTTGATATCATCACTTGCTTTGGAAGAGGCTCAAAAGGTCCTTTATTGCAAGCTTTCATTTCCATGGGAACATTAAATTCTTTTGATATAATTGGCTATGAGAAGTGTTCTTCAAAGATGGAAAGAACACTTAAATGTCACTTAAAAACCCATGTTTTCATTTCTCTCCATGAAGTCACTTAGAATCACAACTATAGTAGTAACAGTATTACTCCACCAAATTTTAAACATTGCCATCGACAAATATTTCGAGAATATTGCCTTTACTAGAGACCATAAAATATATCACCTCTAGAAGGAAAAACTTAGATCTCCCATAACTCCATATCTATTGATAGCTTACCCTAGCCAACAGATTCTATATCAAGAATTAAATGGTTCATAAATCAAAACTGGATTACTTTCCATAATATCTGGAAGAGGCATAATAGTCTTTCTTTAGTATTTGTCATTAATCCAAACATGATTTTATCCAAGTTATTATAATTTGATATGTTCTTGATTTCTACATGGGTCAAATTTAACAGTGGAAATCACTAAGCTTGCAAATATCCATATATCAATACATTTCAACAACAATGGGAGAGAAATTAGGAAATGATACTGCTGTACTATTTTCAAAGTACTGTTAGATTTCTTTAATGTTCACACCTTTGAGAGATAATTTAAATATAATTTTCTTACAGGGAAATTTAAACTTAGCTTAAGAGACTTAACTAAGAGCACTAAAAACAGTAATTGAGTTTGCTAAGTCTTTTACCTATCCACAGTGTAACACAGATATGTATAAAAATTTGTGATTCAAAGTCAATTTCGAAGAAGCAATCATTCATATCTTTAAAGTGATTAAGTATGCTAATCCTTGTATTTTTATTTTTTAAAAACTGGTTTCCTTGATAATTATAGTCTGTAATCAGGCAGTATTTATTTAAAACCAAATTGATTTTAGGCTTGTTACAGTGGCGCACACCTATAGTCCCAACTGTTAGTGTACTTGAGCCCAGAAATTCAAGGCCAGCCTGGACAATACAATGAAGAAAATGAACACACACACACACACACACACACACAGTGTTTGTAGAGATAAAACCATAAAACACAGCACCATACTAACAAATGTCTTTCAACAGTTTTTTTTTTTTTAACACAATTCACAATAAAAAATATTGTTGTATGGACAGATGAGGCATGGCACCAAAGATAGCAGGAAACAGTTTTGTTTTGTTTTGTTTTGCTACAGCCAGGTTCAGAGGGCACAGCTTTTGCTGTAATCAATTAATCCCCTGAACCGTAAGTTCAGGTAGTTTCAGAATTTTATACCCAGCATGTAAAGGGAAGGGCTCAGAAGTTCACAGTCTGCAGAAGTTCACATAAAAACAGCTTTTTCTTTCACTGTTCTGGACAAGTTAACCCTTCAAGGACAACACCTGAGAAGGGAGAGCTTCTTCTTCCCTTTCTTTCCTCCCACTGCCAGCTGTTACCATGGAGCCCACTTGATAACTTCTCTTAACTTAGAAATGTAGACATCTCTATGAAGCTCCAGCTCAAGGCCAGAGGCCTTGTTTACACATTTTTACAAACTACTATACTGGATACATGTTTGTGAAAAACAAGTGAAGGGGCGTTCAGCACCTGGAGTGCTGATTTCTTCCTGGCCAGTGGTCAAGTGAAATAGAGCAACAGGAAAACAGAAAATTTAACTACATTTAACTTTTTTGTAGAGACTTTTTTTTTTGTTTATAGTCTTAAAATCAATTATGGTGAAGATTTCTGGAGAAGCTTAGTTAAGATTTTTTTGTGGAGGAGGGGGTGCCACTACAATATTATGCTATGACCCAAGACACATATATATAAATTCAGATAAAAGTTTCCAAAACTAGATATATGCTCTTAACATTTCTACTCTATTTCATTTTTTAACAGAAATTTGAATACCTAATGAGGAAAAAGAAATTTCATTTTGTGTTCCAAACATTGATATAAAAGAAGATAAACAAGTTTTTTAAAAAAATGCCTATAATCCCAGCAGCTGAGGGGGAGGGGGAGGGGCAGGGGGCGATGGGCATGAGGTAGGATCTAGCAACAGGCATTTAGCAACTCAGTGAGACCCTGTCTCTAAATAAAATACAAAATAAGGCTGGGAATGTGGCTCAGTGGTTGAGTGTACCTGAGTTCAATCCCCAGTACCAAAAAAATAAAAAATAAAAATAAATAAGAAAAGAAAGAAAGCTCACATCATAGATGTGAAGCCAGGCAGTATTGGCTACATTCAGAAGGTCAGCCAGATCATGGAAGTTATTATAAAAGAAAGATGATCAAAACTCAGTCATATAAGAACATACAGACTTCATTCTGCTTTTAGACACTTCAAAAAAACTAGTCAGCCTATAGATGCTTGTGAGTCTCACCCAAATTGTAAATCTCTTGGGAATCCTTCACTTCATAGACTTGGCTCTTCATATCGAAGTCCTTAGTGGTGAGTAAATGAAAGAATTTGCATGATCCATGAATGTTTTTTCCCTTGACTGTAACCAAAGCCCCCACCCACTTTTTCATTAAAAAAAAATAATACTTGTGCCCAAATAAAGCATTAATATTGATGATGACAGCCCCTGACATCACTTCCTCCTGGACAAGAAAAGCTCACATACGTAGATGCACATAGAGTTCACATGATAGACCTATCTCTAAAAAGCTAGTGAGGAGAAAGTAAAAAAATCAGAGATACAATCTCATTTGTTACCCTATTTTCTCTTTCTTTTCTTGAGTCTACTTCTGTAAGAGAGGCTCAGTTTTTCAGCAGCATCTCCCCCACCATCCCAGGAGGGCAGAAAGGCAGGCTTAATTCTGGTAAATGGTATTTATTTTTTAATACTAAAAAGGACCATTAAATTGATTTCATGGTGAAAAATATTAGGGAGCTATATCATCAGAGCACTGAGGAAAAATAACTCTCAACCTAGAATTTAAACTTAACTAAATATCATTGAAAGAATGATCATAGCCAGGAGCAGTGGGGCATACCTGTAATCCCACCAGCTCAGAAGGCTGAGACAGGAGGATCTCAAGTTCAAAGTCAGTCTCAGCAATGCTAAGCAAGTCAGTGAGACCCTGTCTCTAAATAAAATACAAAATTTTAGTGGCTCAGTGGTTGAGTGTCCCTGAGTTCAATCCCCAGTACAAAAAAAGGATGATCATAGTTCAAATGCTTGGACCATGATTATACTGATTTTTTTAAGTACATAGAAAGTGGAATACAAGACAATGAAAATGAAATACAATGGCGAATTTGAGTTTGTTATGGTTTGGATCTGGAGTGTCTTCCAAAGGCTCAGGTGTTGACAACTATTCCCCAGTACAGCAACATTCAAACATGGGGCTCTTGGGAAGTGATTGCATTGTGAGGGTTCTAACCTCAATGGATTAATGCATTGATGAATTCAAATTTTGATGGCATTATGGGGAAGTGGTAGAAATTGTAGGAGGGGGCTGCATTAAAAGAAGTAGGTCACTGGGGACGTGCCCTGGAAGGGTATTTCTTTTCCCAGGCCCCTTTCTCCCACTCACTTTGTGCTCCTGGCTGCCATGAGGTGAGTTCCTTTCCGTTTGCCAGTTCATTCTGCCATAATGTTCTGCCTTGTCTCAGGCCCAAATCAAGAAGCCAGTCAACCATGAACTAAAACCTCTGAAACCATGAGCTAAATAAATCATCTCTCCTCTAAGTTGTTTTTCTCAGCAATTTTATCACAGCAATAAAAAGCTAACACAGATTACCTGTTATTTAACAGTTTTTTTAAGTAAAAATCTGAGATTTTTCATGTGGTATTTATTTTGTTAATTTTATTTATTTATTTATTTAGGTACTGGGGATTGATCCCAAGAGCACTTTGCCACTGAGCTACATACCCAGCCTTTTTTATGTTTTATTTCAAGGGAGAGGTTGTTGAAGTTGGCCTTTAACTCACCATCCTCCTGTCTCAGCCTCCTGAGTCACCAGGATACAGGCTATGCCACCTGCCTGGCTTATATGGTTTTTTTGTTTGTTTGGTTGGTTGGTTAGTTTGGTTTGGTTTAGTTTGGTTTTGTACTAGGGATTAAAACCAGGAGTGCTTAATCACTGAGCCACATCTGCAGTCCTTTTTTATTTTTTTTATTTTGAGACAGGGTCTAGCTAAATTGCTTAATGCTTTGATTAGTTAGGCTGGCTTTGAACTTGTGATTCTTCAGCCTCCGGTGCTATTGGGATTACAGGCTTGTGTCACCATGCCTAGTTTATGTGTGGCATTTTAGGAGAAAATATCCAACTATATATTGCTTAGAAGAGACACGTATAATGGTGCAAAAATAT